CCCGCCCCCGCTCGCATCCCCATCCTGCTTTCACGTGGAAGGGCTCCGGGGAGACCTGGTTGATCCTCATTGCCCGAGCACTCCACTGAGTCAAGGTAGTTGCCAGAGAATTTCATCCTGAGACCCCACTCTTTTGGCTGCCTATAAAAATAATTCTTCTGGGTTTTTTTTTGGGGGGTGGGGTGGGGGTATGAATGTAGCTTTCGTAGTTGGATGTTTTATAAAATAGTCATTTGGCAGTTGGGAACTTTGTATTTTTGTTATCTTATTTTTAATTCTCAGGATATTTACAACCCCAGCCACTCGAGAGAATCTGTTTCTGAGCCTTGGCTAGGGCATTCTGAGGCCTCGTGTGTACTTAGCAGCTGCTGTCTTCCTCCTCAGTGGCAGGTTTGCCTTTGTTCATGGACGCTCAGGACCTCGTAGCTCCTCAGGCTTCCCTGTCCGCTGAGCAGATAGGAAGCCGTGGCCGACGTGTGGCACCTTGAGGAAATACCCAGTGAATGACTATGGCCTATTGTGCTCGAACTTTATTTCAGCCTTATTCTTTTCTTAAAATCATTTTTCATTTATCTTCATTTCCTCATCTATTTATTTCCTTCTCTTCTAAAGTATGTATCTTTGTTAGCTCCGCCATCCTTTTTAGAATGAGCTAGTGTAAAAATAAGTACATAAGAACCATCCTAAACATTTTAAGAAACCATCCTTTTGATTCACACTTGCTACGTTGGTCTTAGCTCTGGAACTGCTGTCCTCTGGCAGTCCTGCTGCCTTGCTTCCTCTCCCCCAACTGCCCACTGCTCTGTCCCAGAGATTTTTCTGTAGCCGCTCATCTGCAGAGCCCAACAGCTCAGAGTCAAGGGTCTTCCTTAGCAGTAATCACCCCCTGTGCTGCTGCCCCTCCGCTTCTGGGCCTGTTTCCTGTGGCTCCTGTCCTGTGCCTTATACGTCAGCAGCTCTTGTTTCTGCCCACTCTGCCTTTGTTTGTCGTTTCCTGGATCTGAAGCTGTTCTACTCTTTCCCCTTTCTCTGCTCGAGGTAAACTTCCTCTGTGAAACGTCTGCTGATCCCCTGCAGCAGGGTCGACCACTTCCTGAATGTTACTTCCTCTCTTGGTGCATATGTCTGGTTCCACTAAGCAGGCTGCTTCTAGCCCAGATACCTTTGTTCAAATTAGAAAAAGGCACCCACCCCTTCTTCAAGATACTTTATAGTACTTCCAACTGTTGGCAAAGTGTCGAGTTTTTGACATCTGCAGTGCGCACGGTGCCCTGCAAGAGTTATACAGTGTACGGCTGTGCATTTGTGTGTGATAGATCTGTCTGTGTTACAATTGTTTAATTGTCTATGTTCCTCAGGACCAAGGAGGATTCCTTATATCTTAATAGCATTTTTATATTCTTACTGTCTCACCAGATCAGACCCTCAGTGACCATTTGCTAAACAAAAGAAGGAATGAAGTTATAAATATATACTCACCTTGTCTGGAAAAATAGCAGGAAAGGCATGCCTGCCAAGGCCTTTTACACTGAACAGTAAGAATATATTTTAGCCCAGAGACACAACTTTCACTTTTTTTTTTGAGATGGAGTCCCATTCTGTCACCCAGGCTGGAGTGCAATGGTACAATCTCAACTCACAGCAACCTCTGACTACTGGGTTTAAGCAGTTCTCTTGCCTCAGCCTCCCAGGGAGCTGGGATTACACAAAGCCTGGCTAATTTTGTTTGTTTTTTGTATTTTTAGGAGAGACAGGGTTCCCCCATGTTGGCCAGGCTGGTCTTGAACTCCTGACCTCAGGTGATCCGCCTGCCTCAGCCTCTTTCGAAAGTGCTGGGATTACAGGTGTGAGCCACTGCGCCTGGCTTTCCCATTTCAATATTGCTTTAATCAGATTTCTTAAAGCTAGCGTACCACAGTGGTTGAAAGAACAGATGCTGGAGCCAGAGTTTGAATCCCAGTTCTACCACTGTGCCTCAATTTACTCATCTGTAAAATGGGAGTGATAATAATAGTTCCTACTTCAAGGGGTTGTAAGAATTAAATGAATTATTTTATGTAAAGTCACTTAGAATAGTACAAGACTCATAATAAGAATTGGAAGTGTTAGGTATTATCAATATTGTTGAAGTCCATGTATAGGTTTACTATAGTATTTTTTTTTTTTTTAACTCTTAAGTGCTGTTTTCACTCTATTCTGTTCAGCTTTTATTGCTAGCATCTTGCTTCTGCGGGTCCGTCCTCCTGCTGACTGGCATCATGCTTGTGTTGTGGTCAGAGCACCTGCTGCCTGCGGTTCTCCCTCGCGCACACCGGTTCTTTGGTTGCTGTAACAAAAAGTACATAGGACACAGACGGGAAACCTGCAGGCTTTGTTTTTTCTTCCTAATTTGGCAGAAGAGGGGGTGGAAAACCAGGGCCTTTCACAAACAAGCTTGTTTTAGAGTTTAAATTTAACTTGTTGTTCATATTCTAAAGCTGGAATTGGTAATACATCTTGGCTGTATGCGACTAGAGAGAACTGGGCTTTAAAACATTTTTTAATAATTTTAATGTAAAATCTTTTCTAATTGCAAAACAACTGGCCTTTGATGATTTTCAAGAGAGTTGTGCTGTGATGTGGCCAAAGGTAATGGAATGTTCTAGGGCCAAGCTCCTCATTAGAACCTGCCAGGGTATTCTCGGGTTAGACAATAGAAGAAAGTCACTCCCTGAGTAGTTACAGTTTCTTCTGGTCTTTAAGGTTCACTTGTGGCTTTAACCTACAGGAGGGATGGGATGGACATTTTCTACGTTGTTTCTGGCTCTTTCTCTTATGTCTCATGCTGGCCTTAGAAACTGTAACACTCTGGGGACCTCTGCATAACCCAGTCTGGCTGCCTTACCCTGTTGAGCTCTTTTTAAATTAAGCAAGATCTGACTTAATTTCCTCAGATGCTCAGACCGTTTTCATTATGAGAACTCAGTGGCTTTTCCAGATCACATTACTGTAATTGACTTAACACCCACTTTGGTACTTCCGTATTTAGGGTACTAGCTAGGATCCTCACAGCAGTTGCTGTACATTTGTTTGTGGTTTCAGCAGCCTTTTGAACTAAACAACATATAAGTAAACAATAGAAACATGATCTAAAATGTCACCCTCCTTCATTTATTAAATTTATCAAAGCTCTTTATATACATAAACCTGGATTAGTTTGGCTGGGCATGGTGGCTCATGCCTGTAATCCCAGCACTTTGGGAGGCCGAGGCGGGTGGATCACGAGGTCAACAGATCGAGACCATCCTGGTCAACAAGGTGAAACCCTGTCTCTACTAAAAATACAAAAATTAGCTGGGCATGGTGGTGTGCGCCTGTAGTCCCAGCTACTTGGGAGGCTGAGGCAGGAGAATTGCCTGAACCCAGAAGGCGGAGGTTGCGGTGAGCAGAGATCGTGCCATTGCACTCCAGTCTGGGTAACAACAGCGAAACTCCGTCTCAAAATAAATAAATAAATATTTTAGTATAGTACTGGTCAACTGTAGCCCGATTCAAGGGTATGTTTAGTTATTAGTTCTCAGAAAGAATATCTACCTGAGGAACTTTCTCCAACAGGGTTTCTATGGATTCATTTATATTCAGGGCTTCAGAAATGATGGGTGGACAGTTGTTGATACTCTGTGTTCTGGAGGGTAGAGAAGCAGATGGTGAGAATGTGTTCCAGCCGGCAAAGGAACTCACATTATACCTGACTTTTCTGCACTGCATTCTCTCTGACCCCATTAGGACACATCAGAGGCTTTGTTTTGTGAAAGGAGCATAATTAAAATCGAAGGTTAAATTTTTAAGTAGGGACACAAACATGACGTTTTTTCCTTTATCTAAGACTGGAATTTCCATGTCTGTCTAAAATCTCTATTCTTTTTGGAGAAATGTCAGCCAAGACAGGAACTTACCTGAATCTCAGGGCGGGGATGCCCTGATGGTCCAATAACTGAAGCCCACAGAAGTAACTTGGTTCACAAGTGTGTTTCTTAGCAGTGTTCAAAGATTGTTTGTCAACATTTAGAATCCAGGCAATTTCACATAAAAAAAAAAATCAGATTTCTGGCCCCTCTTGATAAATGGAAAGATGCAGTGAGTCTGGGGCCGCAGAGCTGCGGTCAGCTGGAGCCAGGTTGAAGCTGTCTCCTTGGCTAGGCCTTAGGTTCTTGTCTTTGCAGTGTCTGCTGTCTTTTATGTGACATTTGAATTGTGACCCTTCTCCTGTCCTTTCCTGCCCTACTCCTATAGCTCATGTCCTACTGTTTTATGGTCAGGTATCTTACAACTTTTCAGAAAGGCCCAGGCCGCTGTGAGCAGTGGTTAAATGGACACCAGGAAGGAGGAGAGTTGGCTCCCACGTGCTGCTCCCAGTCCCACCCGGGCCTTCAGGGGACAGGAGCTAATGCCAGGGTGGATGTGGTATGCTGTATTTGCTGAGCTGGCAGCCCTCTGTCTGTTCATTGAGCCTGAAAGTCATAACCAAAGTTTCCTCATCCCAAGGGTGGGGCATTTTTTAAAATGTGAAAGAAAGGAGCCAGTGACAAGTGACAGTTCCAGCCCATTTGTAGGCTTACAGGACCAGCTATTGCCACAAAAGATAAGCTTCCTGTTTACCAGTTGGCCTGAGACAAAGTGGTTGTGCTTCCTGGCCGCGCGGGGCTTGGCTCACAGTCTGGGCTCTGTCTGTCGGGATGGTGGGCTGAATGCTCGCTCTGTGCTGGGCTGGCTGGGGGTGGCAGGGCCCCAACAGCATGGGTCCTGGACATGGGCCACTCTCGAGAGGGCATCCCCAGGAGGGCACTCGATTTGGCCCCAGAACCAATTCTGGCATTTGGAAAGGAAGCAAATGAGGGAGGGCGGCCTGGCCTCCTTGCTGGTTTCCTTACTGTTCCTTTCCTTGAGGGGCCCAAGCCAGGCAAACCCCCTTGGCACAAAACTGGGACTCCTACAGTAAATTTGTATCTTTTGTTTTTAAGCATCCACGAAGCAGGATGTCAATGTCTCCAGCAAAAATGATCATTTACGGCAGTGTGCTGTGTACCGGGGGCTTTTCCCTTGCATATTTCATCATACAAAGTAAGTATCCTGGAGGCGCCTGCAGCCTGACCCCCTCCTAGCATTCCTGCTCCTGCTCCTCCTCCATCAGAGGAAATACTTGAGATGCTTTCAGTAGATCAGAGAAAGGATGAGAGGGTGATTTTAAAGGCTAGTCCACCATTTTGTTGGCTATAACTTCCTCTGTATCCTGCAATCTCAGTTTTTCCTGGGAGCAACCAGTACAAATAAAAGGACCAGGACTCATTTGCATAAGAAGCCTAGTAGAGCACGATGGGCTTTCAGCCCAGTGCACACACAGGGGCTCCAGTCAAGATTCTGAGATTATGTAAAGAAAGGACAGAGGGAAGGGGAATACCAGATGGTTCACAGGTGGGAAAGCTGTGGCTGCGTCCAGTGTTGTCAGCCTTTTTCTGCACTTCATTCTCTGTTGTTGATTTAATGGAGGAGGGACCATGAGCAAGGGACCTCTGGCGGGGCAGAAAATAAAAGCAGAGCCCACAATGGCAAAGTCCTGACAGATGCAGCTTCCAGCCCCACTGCACTCAAATTTGAATTTGTAAAGATAGCCCACGATTACTGTCAGCAGCCAGGACATTTAAGGTCATTTTAATGCTACTGGTGGCAAAGCAGCAGCAGTTTTTTCTAGACTGACTTTTTTGAGGCTCCTTTATCTCTACCCAGCTTAGCTCCTTATCCGCTGGGCAACATTTTCACTTCTTCCCAGGATGTGAGTGTCACCAGGAGATAAGCCAACAGGCTCCAGTGTCCTCTCCAGCCATGCTGCACCTTCCTGCAGAGTTGGCGGAGTTGTTGAGTCTGGAGGGGCCTCAGATGAGCATTCCCAGGGATGATTCAGACTAAATAATTTGGCGTCCTCTTCCTCTGCCAAAGGGACAGGGGCAGGACATAAGAGGAATGGGTGTGTTTTTGGGTCAGGTTTCAGCCTTTTTCCCTTAGGAGGCTGTTAAGTGGGTGAGACCTGGACACTGCAGCTGACTGCCTGGGTTGAATGGTTGAATCTCGGCTCCATCTCTTGACCAGCTATGTAGCCTTATGTGAGTCTGTCACCTTTCTGGGTGTTAGTTACGTTACTGGTGTGATGCGTGGTAACATTAGTGCCTGTGCATGAAGTAAGAATTGAATCTCACAAGAGAGAGCTATTGAGCATTGTGAGATGTGTGAAATATTGAGAACAGTGCCTAGCCATGGAAATCACTCAACAAAGAACAGCTGTCTGGACCCAGCTTCTGCCTCTTCTTTTCCTATTATTATTATTTTTTTTTGAGACAGGAGTTTCGCTCTTGTTACCCAGGCTGGAGTGCAATGGCGCAATCTTGGCTCATTGCAACCTCTGCCTCCTGGGTTCAGGCAATTCTCCTGCCTCAGCCTCCCAAGTAGCTGGGATTACAGGCACGCGCCACCATGCCCAGCTAATTTTTTGTAATTTTTAGTAGAGACGGGGTTTCACCATGTTGACCAGGATGGTCTCGATCTGTTGACCTCATGATCCACCCGCCTCAGCCTCCCAAAGTGCTGGGATTACAGGCGTGAGCCACCGCGCCCAGCTTCTTTTCCTATTATGGTTGGCACCTTGTTCATGCCTATGGTATTCCCTGTACCCCTTACTCCTGGGAAGCAGCCCAGGAGGGGCATTCCCTTGGCCTCTCAGGGTCAGGTCACCCTCCCCTTCATTAGTGTAATGGGACCTATGGAAGGGAAGCGCTTCCTTTTGCAAAACTGAACACTCTGCTTGAGAAGTTCTGCCTCTGCTCTCTCACTTGGGCAGCTGATATTAGAACTTACAGCTTCAGGGATGTGCTGCCTGGACTTCCCATGTAGCCTTTGGGCTCAGAAGGATTCCTGAGACTGAGAGGAGTTTGACTTGAAATGTTGGCTTAGATCTCGATGAAGGAACATTCTCATATCCTGCTTCTTGGCCTGAGAGTTTTGTTGTTGTTGATGGCGTGGTCTTTCTATTTTACGTCTCACCTTAGTGGAAGGGGCCGTGTTTAGAAGTCAGGTGTTACGGATTCTGGCATCACTTTGCTGTGGACCAGCTGCATCACTTTGAGCAAGTCATGGAATCACAGGACTTTAGACTTGAGAGGAAACTTAGAGAAGAGCTGATCAAACCCCTTAGATGTAGAAATAAGGCAGTGAATGAGGGAAGAAAGATGAAGATATTGAGGCATAGAAAGGGTCTGTATGAGGTCAAGGCCCAAGATCATCTGCATATCCCTGCAGACACTGCCTGCCTGTGCTTTGGTTTTGAGTTTAGAGAAGATGGTCCTAATTATTCGTCCATCCACAAATTTCATGTTTCTGGTTCCACCCCATACATCAATTGTATAATTTTCTGTCTAGTAGATTCCACCTAAGTCCAATAAGGAACACAAAGTGTTTGTTTCATCCTTAGAGACGTATTCCAGGAGTTTATATTACCAGTTGGCATTGGAGCAGCTGCAGATCCATCCCGGGGCACAGGAAGCTCTGGGCCCTCCTGTCAGCGTCCACCATCTCAAGCTCACTGGCAAGGACAACTTTGTGGACATTGCTGATGCCAAGGTAATGTGGTGCCTGCCGAAGGAGAGGAGGGTCGGCTGTCTCCTGGAAAGTCTTGGAGGAAGCTGGAGTTAAGGATTTGGGATGGGAAATCTTAGTAAAGCAGGGTTTGGCACCTTTAAAAAAAAGTTTTTAAATTATGGATTTTAATGTTTATATAAAATATATTTTATGTTCTAGATTATTTCTATATACATTTCTTCCATTTCGGGGAATGGATATGGCAGGGAATGCAGTGGGTGTGCTGAAGTCACCATCTTGAGCTGAAGATAGTAGAGAAGTGACCAGTGGTGGTTTGCTACCATGTTGGCTTTGATAGTGCTCAGCACTTTGGGGGGCCAAGGTAGGAGGATTGCTTGAGCCCAAGAGTTTGAGACCAGCCTGGATGATACAGCAAGACCCTGTATCTATCTATCTAGCAAGCAAGACCCGTCTTTATCTGTCTGTCCATCCATCCATCCAGTCTAATCTGTCTGTCTGTTTATCTATCTGTCAATCAATCAATCAATCAATCAATCATTTAGCCAGGCATGGTGGTGCACACCTGTAATCCCAGCAGGAGGCTGAAGCAGGAGGATCGCTTGAACCCAGCAGTTGGAGGCTGCAATGAGCTATGATTCACGTCACTGTACTCCAGCCTGGGGGACAGAGTAAAACCCTGTCTCTAAAATAAAAACAAAAAAGGCAAATGCATCTGTATCTAGTCAGTGCTCATTCAAATGTAACCAACTCTTTAAACTTTGACTTTTAAAGTGAATTTATTTACATTGCTTCCACAGACTACCAACCCATTTTTTAACCATATCGTTTTGTACTTGATCACACTTACATGTAAAACACATTTGTTCTCCAAGCTTGTTTAACAAGCATGTTTTCAGTATATGCCCTGGTTTGAAGAATGATTCTAAGCTCTGTGGGGAATAGAGGTACAGAAGGCTTTTGGGGGTTTACAGTTGAAAATTCCTGAGTAAGACAGGGTGAGGCAAACCCTGTCACTATTGTGCAGGCCTAGAGGGGAGTGGCTTGAGGCCTGGGAGACAGCTGTGAGGACTTTGAATGGTGGAGAGGAACACCCTGTCAGTGTGACGGTGCAGTGGAGGCACAGGTGGGCAAGGTAGGTGTGGGCAGGTGGGAGGGACTGTGGCCACCAGAGAGCCACAGTAGCATCTTAGAGGGTGTGTGTGTGCTTGACTCTGGCAGCAGAAGCCCAGAAAGTATTGGGAGGGTAAGAATGAGATTATCTGACCTTATTTTTTGTTATTTTTATTATTTTCTTAATACATAGCTCTAATGAGACTTTTTTTTTTTTTTTAAGCTACAAAAGCAGTTTGTGCTCTGGTATTCTGATTAAAATACTTACTTTTAAAAGAAGGTGAATTTGTGTAGATTGGCAATGCCCAGGGACTGGCTACAGGGAGCCACCTTTAGGAGAGAGGCATGGCCGCACTGGTGTGCACTGGTGAGAGCATAAACTAGAGGTGTGGCCTGGAGAAGTGAGAGATGGATGTGAAGTCCACTGTGGCAGACTTGGTAACAGTCATGTGTCAGGAGCGGGTGGGTCAGAGGTGAGGTTCCAGTGTCCAGCATGGGTGTGAGTGGAAGGATGGCAGCGACACTGCGTGTGAGAGGACACCCAGGAGGAGCACAGGGAAGGGCCGGACATGTGTAGAGTGCTCACTCTGTGCCAGGCCACTGGATTTCTCCCCTGGTGTGGCAGAGCCCCTGTGTGCTTCCCCGTCTTTGGTCACTTGGCTAGACTCCAGCAATGCTAAGAACTTGGAAAGCCAGTGGGTAGGTCTGGCTGTTGCATTTCTCTCAGCACAGGGCCCAGCTGCAGCACTGAGGAAGTACACGCCAAAGACGCCTTTGCTGGGGCTAAGAGCAGAATCAGTTTCATGATCTTGTGCTCAAGGAACCCCAGTAAGAGTAGGGTGAGGTCCTGCTGTTGTTCGTGGGAGCTCTGTTCTGTCCAGCCTTCACTTTGGCCTGGTGGTGCTGAGAGGGCGCCTTCCTGGGCTTCCCCACATCCCTGGGCCCTTGGCCACGCCATGACTGTGTTAGCTCTGGTGCTAGCTTCTGGCCTCTACTGCTGCCAAATGCTGTGACTCCATAGTGACAGTTCAGTCTGCTGCATCAGAGCCATCTGGAGCCTCAGTGCCTGTCTTCCAATTTGTGGACTATTTTTGACATTCTGTCAGGGTTCTTCACTTACTTTCTTTATAATCAGCTGTTTATGAGGGTGCCGGTATGCAGCCTGTGCCCTCGCATCCCAGAGTCCTCGATTTGTAGTTCTGACGGTTTTCCAGAGGTGAGATGTTTCAGTTGTTCATGAATGATTGTCGTACGTTGGGATTTTTTTCCCAAGTGTGTGTGAGATAGTCAACAACGGCCAACACTTTGCTTTACCAGAACTTCTGCTTTAATCTTTGGCAAGTTCTGGCTGGTGAAGGAACCAAACTGTGGTGTTACATCTACCCACGCAAGTGCAGCTGCCATAGTTCAGACATTGGCCTCAGAGTTTGCTGGTCTTCAGAATCCTTGCGCCTGCCCTTTTCTTTCCTTTCTTTCTCTTTTTTTCCCCCCAAAGTATCCAGAGATGGTCAGTGTATACTCTGTTGCTTAATTCTGTCATCCAGAGAAAAGCTGTAGGACCCTGGAGATTTGTTCTTTTTTTTGAGATGGAGTCTTGTTCTGTTGCCCAGGCTGGGGTGCAGTGGTGTGATCTTGGCACACTGCAGCCTCCACCTCCTGGGTTCAAGCAATTCTTCTGCCTCAGCCTCCTGAGTAGCTGGGACGACAGGTGTGCACCACCATGCCTAGCTTTTTGTATTTCTAGTAGAGATGGGGTTTTGCCATGTTGCCTAGGCTGGTCTTGAATCCTGGCCTCAAGTGATCTGCCCACCTAAGTCTCCCAAAGTGCTAGGATTACAGGTGTAAGCCACCATGCCTGGCCAAAGATTTGTTCTTGAAGTATGATTAGGTGCCTGCTTATTCACCTGAGTTGTGGAGCCATGTCTTAAATTCTGTCCCTTCCTTCAAGGGTGTTTAAAGAAAGGATTTTGGAAAGCACAGGTGTGTACCTCAGTAGTTTCTTCTCTTGGTGGCAATTTGGAATGGGTGGGATACTCCCTCCCTGCCCCTGCCCTTGCCCCCACCCCAAGAGGTATCTTTGGCCATCTCCAGGGGCACAGGAGGGCACTCTGGGAGGTGCCTGTCTTATGATGGGCTTCCTTGTTACTGTGCCTGTGTCCCTTTTGTGAGGCTCTTACTTTTGGTTTTCATGAGAAACCAAAAACATTGCATTCACTATCTTTTCTTCTAAATCAAATGTAATCAAACAACTGCTTAGGGGCTGGCTTTGAGGCTCTCAGGCCGACTCCCCGGTCATGGGCATGGCAGCACCTGGCAGCATCCCTGTGGTGCGAGCCCAGCCTATGGTGCCGGGGATGAAGGAGAAACTGAGAACTGTGTTGTCTTTCCCAAACGAGCCTTCATGTGTTACATTTTCTTTAAAGCCTGTTCTTTAGGGTCCAGGTCAAAATACGTACCAATTTGCTGGCGATAGGTCCCCCTTTAAAACAGTGAATTTTTTATTTTTGTACTTTATTATGAAAAATTTCAAACGTATAAAAAAGATAAAAGAATTTATACTATGATCACCTATAGCTGGTACCTGGATTCTACAATTAGGATTTTGCTCTGTTATTTTGATGGATTACAAGGGAATTTTCAGACATTACACATTTCATCTCCAAATACATGGTTCCTGTTTTGTTGTTGTTGTTGTTTTTGTTGTTTTGGTAAAATTTACATTCTTGAAAGGCACAAATCCAAGTGCCCTGTCTGATGAGTTTTAACAGATACACCCAATGTGTCACTCAGGCCGTTATCTAGATGTAGACTGTTCCCAGCGCCTGAGTTCCCTTGTGCCCTACCCAGTGGGTCCCTTCTCATCTTTCAGCTCTACCAGAGGCGGTCACTTTTCTTTTTTTTCCCCAGCATAGGTGCCTGTACTGGAGTTTAACACAAATAGTTACATACTCCTCCTGTGTGAGGCCCTTTGACTCAGCATGTTTTTGATACTCATCCATGTTGCTGCATTTATCAGGAGTTTGCTCTTTTAAACAGTGGACTTTTGAGCTGTCACTGGAAGTACCCAGATCACTGTCATGGAAGTGCTCCCTCCAAATGGAAGGGCTGCCATTGACCTCACCAGCCATCCAAAGAGGGCCAGGACATTTGGAAAATCAAGTGGATTCTCCAGCTGGGCTGTTAGAAAACCACTTGCTTCTGTGGAGAATCACTGGGTTTTATAGGCTTAGCTCTAGAAAGCATCATTTTGACATCTCTGAAATGACCCTGTATCCAACTACATCTCTCCTTTCTGTCATTTTACACCCACAGTTGAAGATTCCTGTCTCTGGATCTAAGTCAGAGGGTCATCTCCACGTCCACTCAACCAGAAGTGGCCCCTTTCAGAGGTATCCTGGGAAGGTGACAGCAGTGGGGGAGTGGGAGGAGGACTTCCTAATGGAAGCAAGCCTGACTCCATTTTTATTTCTTGTTAAATGGCTGTGGGCATAGGAAGAATTAGTTTTCAAGCTTGAAGCTGAAAGCTTCGTGGCCTGGGCAGCAAGCCAGTACTGTGGCTCTTAGCTGGGTCCAGTTTATCCATGCAGTCTGCTGAATTGCCCTCTCCTTATGCTGTTGAATTTGTAAAACTTTACACTTACATGATCTAGCTCTATCATAATTTGATGCTATGTTACAGCTTCTCACTTGACTGCCTCAATTGTTACAAATGAATAAAGGGCATGGACTCTTGTTCCCGAATTTATTCATCACATTCTTTGCATAAGCTCTCCACCCCTTAATTGGCTTGGCTTTGCTGGTTGCCAATAGCTACATCACTCACTTCCCCCACGGGAAGCCTCTCTCAGAGATGTTTGCTGTTTAGCCAGACTGTGTTTTAATTCTTAAGGACAAAAGGAGCAGGCAGCCCCACCTAGCTCACCCTGGGCTCATTGACCTCTGAGCCTGGGATTAGTGCATGAGCTGGCTGGATTCCAGGCCAGGAACTGTGAATTAGGAAATGATAAATAAACTGCTCCTTCTCTTTCCTGATGTCCCTTCCATTCGCCTGTCAGTCATTTTTAAGCCCGCCTTGGAAGGCGAAGCTAGTTAAATAATGAGAGCCGGTGAAATGTTGAAACATGATGTTGACACAGCACTCAGACAAAATCATGTTTAAAAAAATTTAAGGCATTATTCAAAACAACTGCTTTCCCCGCCCCCTCCCCCCCCCCTTTTTTTTACTACGGCTGTTGCCTCAGCGCTCATGGATTAGATAGACTGTACTTTTGATTTCTCTAAGGTGGCACCTTGACGAGGTCTTCTTAGAGCTCAAGGATGGTCAGCAGATTCCCGTGTTCAACCTCAGTGGGGAAAATGGTGATGAAGTGAAAAAGGCATAGAGACGATCCGGAAGACCCAGCTTCTAGTCCGGCCTTCCCTCTTCTCACCCTGTGCCCACTGGCGTGGTGGCCTATCTGAGTGACAGATACTCCCACAAGCCAGTTTTCCAGCCACCAGTAGGATGACTGTATGTGCCATCATATGGTAATTTTGGTATAAATCTAACTTGGGTACAACAAATGCTAGTTGTCATTTTTAAACTGAATCAGAAAGAAACTCATAAATTTCAGATGATTTATTTGAAAGTGCTTTGTTTAAAAAAGCACATGATAAAAGGAATCAGAATTAATAAAACGTTTGTTGATCTTTGCTATTTCTCATTTCTTTCCTTTCTCCTCCTCTTCCTTTCCCCTGGAATTTTCAGTTCCTCAGTACAAAGCCTGAGGCTTAGTAGTACTGAAGGAATTTTTTTCTAAGTATTGACATGAGAATGCTGAGGAAGACCGCTTTTGTTTTTCACTTTACCTTGACTTCATGTTGTTAAGTAGCTCGTGGACATTCTCCATCACTTTGGAATATTTTGTTTGCTTTGTTTATATTTATTTCTATTTCAGATACCAACCATCTGCCCAGTTGAAGATTTGCAAAATAATTGCTTTTATTCCAAACATTTTGAAAGCTTAGAAAATTTGTATGTGTACATGTACAGTTAACATAGGAAAGTTAGACAGGTTCTGGCTGGGTGTGGTGGCTCATGCCTGTAATCCCAGCATTTTGGGAGGCTGAGGCAGGTGGATCACCTGAGTTCAGGAGTTTGAGACCAGCCTGGACAAAATGGTGAAACCCATCTCTGCTAAAAATACCAATAAATCAGCCAGGGATGGTGGCGGATGTCAGTAATCCCAGCAACTTGGGAGGCTGAGGCAGAGAATTGCTTGAATCTAGGAGGCGGAGGCTTTAGAGAGCCAAGATTGCATCATTGTACTCCAGGCTGGGCAATAAAAGTGAAACTCTATCAGAATGAATGAATGAATAAATAGCTAGCTAGCATGTTCTTATCCTTCTGCTTTCCACACAACATAACCACGTTAGAGAATCGTATCCTTAGGTTTATTAGTCTCATAAGGAAACATACTATAAAGCAAGAGAACTTCCTTCTGAGCAGCAGAGCCTACAAAAACAGAAATCTAGTATCTGTGCTTTGAAAGGGTCAGTTTAACTCTTAGTATTAGCAGGCTTAATGCAATAGTAGCTGGTTGTCTACAGTGAAGGACAGCCATGAGCTCTCTTCCTACATTCTTAATACTCATTGAAGAGAAGCCTTTCAGAAAAAAAAAAATGAGCTTAAATATATTGGTAGAGTATGAGGTCTTCAGTTTTTACAAGTTATCTCTGGAGTTGTTTCTTTAAAAACATATTTGTGTGTTCTTTGAGTAGATTATACAGTGAAAAGTCTCTCCTTGAGAGCACTTCCGTCAGTGGGTTTAAGATAAATATTCCAATCTCTATAATCTGTTAGAATAAATGGCAGAGTACCGTACAGCTTTGTGCTTTTTGAGTTTCACACTGTCCAATTGGATGTATGTTGTGGATTTGTGTTGCTCTCTGCTCTGCAGCAACTTTTACTTCATTTTAGTGTTTGAATTTTTTTGGTTGTTTCTTCGCTATGGCCAACTTGTAGAAAACCAGGGCTTAGGTCGGCCATCTGCTCTGAAGTCAAAACAAGCGTAGAGTTTGAATCAAGAAGCTTTTCTAATCCACCTGATAGGAAATAGTATTATGTCGTGAAAAGCTCCTTGACTTCTATTTGAAAGCCACTCTCTTGGGTACTTTTTCTGTTCACATTTACTTCCATGTGAGCACTTAATGCCTTCATGGGTAATTCTGTACAGGCTGGAACCTGGTCATTGCAGTAGACACTGTCTTTCCTTTTCTTTGAAGATAGCAATGATGTACACCTGCAGCCCACTACTTCCTTTGTACCCAGTAATCACTGTGACTCAGCCATTGAGTCACTAACTACCTTAATAATGTCTTGGATAATGCATCAGAAGAAAAGGTGAGTTTTTAAGGAAAGGCCCCCAGTGCATCCCATAGAGAGACAGGATAGCCCAGAAACCAGAGAAAGGGCTTTCCTAGAATTATACGAACTGTAGATCTGTAAAGACTGCAGGAGAAAGATCACTGCCAACAAATGGTAGAGTGACTCCCATAATGCTTTGCCACAGAAGAGGCTGCAGGGCCTCCACCCACAAGTTCCTTGCCAGCCAGTATGCTGGGTGGATGAGCAGGGGCTGTGGAGAGTACTATAATACTGTGCCAAAAGAATTTCAAGCTGTGCTGCTAAAAATGATGTAGAAAAGAGAGATACCAGTTAGGAGAAATTTAAGAGGCTATCTGGAGGCAGTGGTGTCCCTGTGGACCTTGGCGTCCAAGATTTTGATAAGCAGACATGATGGAGAGCTCCCGGCAACTGGAAAGCACAACATGAAGAAAGGCCCCAGAGCGGGCAGATGGGAGCTGTGCCCCAGAAATCAGAGACCCGGTTTGGACAGCATGTAGGTGAGCGTAGGTAAAGTAAAAGAGAGGCGTGGAAAGGTAGGTCGGCCATAGTGTGTGAATGCCAGTGTGGACATGTTGCATATAATTTGTGGCTGTCAAAGATTGCGGGGTAAGCACGTGATTCTGCTGTTAATGAAGGTTTCAGAGATTGTGCTGAACATGTACTGACAAGACCAGTATGCCTTTCAGGAAAGTCACAGACTTTACCGTCTTTGTTCACTTCTCCTAGAAGTAGCCTCCTCTTGCTTGCAAACATTTCCTACTCACCAACCCAAGGTCTTGATAATACCTGATAAGGTTTTATTACTCTGAGTTTTGGTAAAGTTGTATACAGCAACAATGAAACTGAAATTATGTATACACAAAACAGTCAGAATTTAACAATCGTTGCTTCTGTCCTCTGGCCACCAGCAAGGCCAGGGAAACGCTCAGGAAGTGGTAGCTCTAAAGGGTTTTCTGAAAGCCAGCAGCTTTGGAAGTGGCCTTAGGTCACTTGACTCTGGCATTTTCAGTTTGTCCATCTGAAAAATAGGAATAAATATTTACCAGTCACTTACCTTACAGGTGAGACAACGTTTATACTGCTCATTGGGATGCTTGGGCAAAAGATGTTTACATAGGAGGCTGGATGGCAAGGGTGGGGTGTCAAGAAAGAGATTGGAGGGTGATAGGGAAACCTCCAGTCTCCACCCACTAGAAGATTCTTGGCTCCTTAGTAATGCAGTCCTGGTTCAGGCATGTTTTTTGGCAGAGTCGCTCAGTTGAAAGCACTGTCAGGAATGATTACAGAAAAACTGCGCTCCTTTTATAATCCAGGGCAGAAAAGTAGGAAATGAAAATATTAATAATATGCCTCTAAGACATAGGTTGGGTACAGAAGTGAAATTTGACTTTGCAAGAGAGAGTACTTTTAATTCCTAAATTATCTTCCAATTTTTTTTTCCTTACGGGAAATTTCCAAAATGATTTTTTTTTTTTTTTTGAGACGGAGTCTTGCTCTGTCACCAGGCTGGAGTGCAGTGGCGCAGTCTCGGCTCACTGCAACCTCCGCCTCCTGGGTTCAGGGGATTCTTCTGCCTCCCGAGTAGCTGGGACCACAGGCGCATGCCACCACGCCCAGCTAATTTTTTTGTATTTTTAGTAGAGACGGGGTTTCACCGTCTTGGCCAGGATGGTTTTCATCTCCTGACCTCATCATCCGCCTGCCTTGGCCTCCCAAAGTGCTGGATTACAGGCGTGAGCCACCGTGCCTGGCCCCAAAATGATTTTTAAGGAAACATTTTAATCAGATCACAGGCAGTACATTAAAAGTCTTTTTATTTTTAAATAATTAGCTGTCAAGGCAGAAATTAGACCCCCTACTACACACTCATAACACTTAAGTTTGGCTGCCACGTCAGTCACCTTGCAGTCTTAATGACAAAGTAATTTTTCACTTCCGAATTATTTTTATGAAATGAGAAACTGTAGACCTGGCTCCCTTATGAAAGTTGATGCAAAAATTCGAAATAAAATATCAGTGAACTGAATCCAATGATACATAGTAGTATATTGTATTGTTTTTCACAAAACAGGTTTGTGCTTCTCCCTCTCAGTGCTCTTCCCTGTGGGAGGATTATATCTCTCTGCCTTGTTGAACTTAGGTGTGATTGTGTGGCTTGTGAGTGGAAGTGGCACGCGGGACTTTTAAGTTTTAAGTGCCAGCCCTTGGTTCACCCTGTTCACCTTGCCACCTTTCCTGAAATTGGTTATGTTCCAGATGGAACATACCTCAAGGGCTTGGGGGCTGGAGCTGACAGCTGACCCACAGTGGGACATGGAGCACAAGAGAGAAGTAAACCCTTACAAGCCCCTAAGATGAGGGGCTATTTGTTACTCTATCCTAACCTAGTGCACCCTACTGTTAACAGTGATTAAGAAAGGTTTATTCCAGGAATGCAAAGGTGGTTCAATATCAGGAAATTCTGGAATTTTTGTTTTAAAGTTCTGGGGTACATGTGTAGAACGTGCAGGTTTGTTACATAGGTATATACAACATGCCATGGTGATAGGCTGTACCCATCGACCCCTCATCTACATTAGGTATTTCTCCCAGTGCTATCTCTCCCTTAGCTCCCAGCCCCTAACAGGCCCCAGTATGTGATATTCCCCTCCCTGTGTCCATGAATTCTCATTGTTCAGCTCCCACCTATGAGTGAGAACATGCAGTTTTGATTTTCTGTTCTTGTGTTAGTTTGCTGAGAATGATGGTTTCCGGCTTCCTCCATGTCCCTGCAAAGGCATGAACTCATCCTTTTTTATGGCTGTATAGTATTCCATGGTGTATATATGCCACATTTTCTTCATCCAGTGTATCATTGATGGGCATTTGGATTGGTTCCAAGTCTTTGTTACTGTGAACAGTGCCACAGTGAACATATGTGTGCATGTATCTTTATAGTACAATGATTTATAAACCTTTGGGTATACATACCCAGTAATAGGATTGCTGGGTCAAATGGTATTTCTAGTTCTGGATCCTTGAGGAATTGCCACACTTTTCTTCCACAATGGCTGAACTTATTTACACTCCCACCAATAGTGTAAAACCATTGCTATTTCACCACATCCTCTCCAACATCTGTTGTCTCCTGATTTTTTAATGATCACCATTCTAACTGGCATAAGATGGTATCTCATTGTGGTTTTGATTTGCATTTCTATAATGACCAGTGATGATTAGCGTTTTTTCATGTTTGTTGGCTGTATAAATGTCTTCTTTTGAGAAGTACCTGTTCATATCCTTTGCCCACTTTTTGATGGGGTTG